CTTAGAGATGTGATTTACGAAAACAAACGGAAACATCTTGGGACGAACGTCGGTTGATTATATTGGATTTGGGACTACGTCCTTGGTTCGTAATCTGGTGCATTTCGCTTGATCTTATGTCACTGTTTCCCTTTATCTTGCAGAGCATTTCGAGCATTACAAATGTCGGCTTAAAATCACTTTGGACGCGCATGCGCAGACTTATGCTGGTTTCTCTGGGAAACATTATTTGTGCATAGGGTTAAAAAGTTGATAAATGCTGAGAGCTGAGTTCAAATTTTTATAGCAGTAGATGGTTTCTATTTTTAACTTTCCCCTGTCGGTTAAGTTTAAACCGACGACATACCCTGAAAAGGTTAATTAGGAATAGACCCCCCCATTTTTTGTGGGTACATGGAGACAAGGGCAGAAACCTGATCAGTATCTAGTGTAAACAGGACTTATGCCTACCTTTACGCTTCTGGTTTAAAGCGGATCTATATCAACATTTCTTTGGTTATAACATGATGCTCAGTCACAAAAAGGCCCAAGAGCCACTTGAGGTAAAGGATTACATACAAGAGTTTATGTTGGGTAGCTCAAACTTCACGTGATCACATTAGTCCCAACCATGAGCACGCATGAGAAGGAGCCAGTGTGACCATCCTAAAGATGTTATGCCGAAAGAGCGGATAATTCTTTTACTTACCATCATATATATATATATATATATATATATATATATATATATATATATATATATTTGAATAAAACAGATCACAGCCCATTTAAAGGGCTCTGGATCATCAGACTTTACTTCCAAAGGTTGAAATGAAAAATGAAAAGAAATTTACACATTTTTGACGGGCCGTATTAAGCATTTGTAAAATTAGCGAAGTGAGGAAGTGAGGGGGTGAGGCGAAGTGAGGAAGTGAGGAGGGGAGAGAAGGCGAAGGAGGAAGGAGGGGAGAGAAGGCGAAGTGAGGAAGTGAGGGTGGGAGAGAAGGTGAAGGATGAAGGAGGGGGGAGAGAAGGAGAGTGAGGAAGTGAGGGGAAAGAAGGCGGTGGAGGAAGTGAGGGGGGAGAAGGTGAAGTGAGGAAGTGAGGGGGGGGAGAAGGTGAAGTGAGGAAGTGAGGTGGGAGAGAAGGCGAAGTGAGGAAGTGAGGGGAAGAGAAGGCGAAGTGAGGAAGTGAGGGGGGAGAGAAGGTGAAGTGAGGAAGTGAGGGGGGAGAGAAGGCGACATGAGTGAGTTAGATGTACCATTTCAATTCTTTATCCCTAACCCCACTTGGTGTGGGCCGGACATGCTATCAATATACTTTCTATGATTTTTTTCCAATTGACTATTTCATAGAAAATACCCAAAACTCCAACAAACATCAAATTAAATTCTTCGTAGATTTTTTAGACATTTAGATTTATACCAAACTTTAACCCCTAAATATACCCTTTAAAATAATGCGAAATAACAGCGGCTAAGAATTTGAGTGAAACCTTCTCTCAAGTGAGTCTAAATAATACGGAGGTAAATTTTAAATTGATAATTTAATTCAAACTGAAATATATTACCTTTTAATAATCATTATTGATGATAAAATTATTTAATTTGGAATAAACTTTGATTATTATTTAGGTATCTAAAAGCAGTCACGAGTTTAATTTATGAACAAAACTCAAACGAATAGACGTCAACTTAATAATCAACAAGAAAAAAGTTTAGGAAAATAAAAAAGATTACTAGATGTAAAAGGAATTTATTCTTTCAATGTACTTTGTATGATTTTTTTCCAATCGACTATTTCATAGAAAATACCCAAAACTCCAACAAACATCAAATTAAATTCTTCGTAGATTTTTTAGACATTTAGATTTGTATCAAACTTTAACCCCCAAATATACCCTTTAAAGTAATGCGAAATAACAGCGTCCAAGAAATTGAGTGAAACCTTCTCTCATGATCATGATTTATTTTATTGTATCTTCTTTCTTTTATGTCGATTTTCTTCTTCACCCCTTACCCATCCATATCTAAAGATAACATACGTTAAGTTGAGCGATGTCCCTCTTGCCTTGAATTATTACGGGTTATGTTGTCATTTTTTTCGGTTGTATATTTTGTATGCCTTTCTTCTTGCGTTACGAATGAAATGATATCGATATTGTAAGTTTTTGAAAGAAAATAACTCACTCAGAAGGAAAATCCTCGAGAGTGCCGCCATTGAATATATATATATATATATATATATATATATATATATATATATATATATATATATATATATATATATATATATATATATATATATATATATATATATATATATATTGTTGTTATTATTGGTTAAACCCATTTACTAGACCCAATGGCTTGTGAGTTCAATACTAGGCCACATCAGTGGTGAACCAAAAAACTTGGAGCGTTGAGTTAAAAGGAAATAACTGAGACAGCCAGAAGAGGCATGACACGTGGAACTAGAATAATCTACTCCGGTGAACGAAATGAAGGGTTCGGTTCGAAATTCCAATCACGAAGAAGGCCGGATAAGGTGTACAACAGCCGAAACGCTCTGAATATGGCAATGAAGATTAATATAACAGTTCCAGTAATGTAAATAACAATCATAATACCTCATCTCAGAGATATAGACAGATGCTAATATACAATACATATATAACTTCAAATAAATATAGTAATTGTAATAAAGGAAATAAAATAATAATAATGACTGCTAATTATATCATTATCAATATATAATTTGGAGTAGGTGTTCTTAAGAAAATCCACCTCTCCTAATTAATTTTTCTGGCATATCTATAGATATTGGTATATATCTTTGCAAGAAGCCAGTTGGTTTTACATAACAAGAGAAGGGGGAATTGTACTTGAAAAAGTGAAGCTCTTCAAGAAAGTTAAGAACATTATGGGAAATCGGGTATAATAACTATAATTATTTTTCTCTTATTCGTTTCCGTGGTCGAAAGCTAGAATGGACGGTTCTCTTATTCGGGATATTCAACCCGTATTGCTCGTTTCGGTTTTAGGAATAAGATTAGGCGGTGAACGACCCCGATTGACACCAATTCTTCACATTACTGAATGGAACTGCGAAAATCGAAGGCAAGCTATCCTTAAACTTCCGTGGAAACCAGTTCCTGGACGGCTCGATTCGAATTTCGCCCCCGCCTCTACATCCGGTTTACACGTCAGAACAGAGTTTTCTCATGGTTCATCCTGGCCGTGGCGTGGTAGGGGGTGTACCTTTCGGCTTCTTAGCCGTTAACTACGCCGGAGTCGGGGAAGTCGTACTGGGAGTATACGCAAGATGCAATAATTAAGAGTCTCGCTACTTACTCACTGGCATGTTAATCTAGTGACTTCACGTACTTAATCCAGAGTTTTCCACTTTTCTAAGCAGTTTACCAATTCGCTAATGAGGTTCTTGGGAAGATAATTTCCAATTTCCAGTCGCCTCATCAAACGCATTAATGCATAATTGGCCCTGATCTGGCATCTCGTCTGCAGTCGCTTTCTCACAAACGTGCCGTCGCCTCTCTCTGTCTTTTTTTTAAATACTCTCATGGTAATTGCTCCGATGAGCTGCTTTCGCTGATTACCAGACTTCGCGAATCCAAGCGCCCTACAAGTCTGGCATCCCGCTCTCACCCTTACACTGTTGAAACTGTTAAATGTAACCGCCTCTTCTATTCCAATAGCTTCATATCTCGCACCTCTTACCTGTGGAACTCCCTTCCCTATTCCAGTTTCCCTGAGAGCTATAATCTCCAACTATTCAAATGTAATGTCAATCGACATCTCCAGTTGCCTTGATCCATCCACTTATCAATCTCCTCATCCTTTCCTCTATTATTCTTACCTGCTCTCGCTCCAAATCCTCTATAACCCCTTGCGTGCTAGTGGCTTCTCGCCTTGCTTGGGGTGAAATTCTTGAAGAAAAAAAAATTAGATTAGCAGAAAGAAATGGTACCCGAATATGCATTGTCTCCAAAGTGATTTTATATACTGCAATATCATACAGGATGCGACAGAAATACCTTCCGCATAATCGTAAGACGTTAGGCAGATGAAGACACTATTGTCACTAATGCCTTACCAATATTTCGGCGGTATTTCTGGGATGTATATGTGATAGGTATTTCTAACACACACTGTATAAGAATTATGTGCATATATATATATATATATATATATATATATATATATATATATATAGATAGATAGATAGATAGATAGATAGATAGATAATATTAGTGTTAAATATACACACATATTTTTGAATTTGTAGGTCTAATGAATTGGATCGTATTTACGATTTCAATGGAATAAATTATGACCATGGAATATTAGTGTTTTAAGCCTTTTATTATATATATATATATATATATATATATATATATATATATATATATAGGAAGAAATAACATCCTCCACAAACTATTTTATATGGAAGAAAAGAACATCATTCTCAGCTGGTTCCCGAGCCACATTGGAATCAAAGGAGGAGACAAATCGGACACAGCAGCCAAATCCTCACTAAAAATGAACACAAGCAAAAACATAAAAATACCATAGACAGATTTGAGACCTGAAATAAACAAACTCATCAAGGAGAAATGGCAGAAAATATGGGAAAACCAAACCAAAAATAAACTCCATCAAATAAAACCTAAAATAAAACAATGGAAAAAGGACTCAGATGATACCCGAAGAAAGGAAGTTCTTATGACCAGACTACGCAGAGGACATTCACACTTGACTCACTATTACATCCTGAAGAAGATGGATCCTCCAAAACGCTCCTGCGGAAGCAGACTCACAGTGGAGTACTTCATGTTGAAGTGCAGAACCATCTCCAAAATAAGACGAAAATATTATAACCATAAGTGCCTCAAAAGACTCTTTGAAGAGACAGACACCAACAAGATATACAGCTTCCTTTCAGAAATCGGCATCCACAACAAAATTTAAAAAAGAATGTTTTCCCTTTTATAACTTAACCCAATGCCGCGATTAAGCTCTTCTAAAGTACTTGCAAAAGCCTCTAAGGCCAGAATATCAGAATATCTATCTATATGTCGACGTGTGATTATCAAGTTATCTATCTGATTGTCAAGGTGTAAATATCAATATAGATATCTTTATACCGAAGTATGAATGACAAGCTATGTATCTAGTTATAAAAGCCCGGATATCTATTATTGGCATTAAATAACCCAAGTTGATATGCCGTAAAACATAAACAAACAAACAAACATAGTTTGAAGGTGTGCTATATTTAGGGGATTAAGTGCTCAATTTCAGAGATAGAGCCTATGTAAATAAAATAAAAGTGAACATTGAAGTCAACACTCAGAAGCCTCTGAGTGTTGCCTTCAATGTTCACTTATATATATATATATATATATATATATATATATTATAAATTAATTGATTTAAAATATGGCTTTTTTCGCTTAAAAACATATTTTAAATCAATTAATTTATAATATTAAATCTATTAATTTATAATATTAATGCTCTGTAAATTTACATTGAGCACTATTTTGTAAAAATAATATCTATAAGAACACCGGATTATATATCTTACTGTTCTTTTTTTCTTTATATATATATATATATATATATATATATATATATATATATATATATATATATATATATATATATATATATACATTTTTATTATACAATATATATATATATACTTGTTTTTCCCATGCAGAGAAACTATAACACATGCAACAAGCAGTGTGAACAGGGGGGAAATCGAGAGAGTCTTACTTATATTTCTCAAAGGGAAAACGGACTAGTTGGAGGTGTCTTGACTGTTCTTTAATGGGACAATGTGGCTTCCATCCGTTCTCCTAATTGTTGCTGGCCATCATATCGCGCTTTCTAGCTCTCAACTCAGCCACTGGGGTTCGTCACTCCATGAGCTGACTTTAGTCACTGGCTCTCCCTCCTAAATTCATCCTGCCGGAAGGGAGATAAACGCTCTCCTACATCGCCATATTTTCTTTATAACCGTTTGGATGAGGTCATCCTTAATCGCGTTTAACTTCAGAATATCGTCATGTTTCTTTTTAACGGTTTTGCCGGATAATCCATGAAAGTCACGGATCGTCTCCTAATTCCCGCAAAAGTCAAATGTAGAAGCCCATTGGTTGCACTCCTTCAACAATTTCCTGTTCTGTTTGCTGTAGATCTGTTTGAATGTTGGATATCTTGTTGTATAGGAACTAAAGGAAGAAAAGTTGTCCTTAGGCGGCCATATTTTCTGGTTTGAATAACAAATATATTTTCATCCTATATTCGACTGTCCCGTCGTATTTGACGTATCAGGTTCCAGCTGCTCAGTTTCTAGGAAACTCACCTTAATAAAATTTCTTTATTTTAACGCAAAAATCCTATTTACTTTCCTTTTCTTCGAATTTAAATTCCACGTTAATACTTTAGCTGAAGAATACGAATTTATCAGTGTTTTCTAACCATGTAGGAACAAGTTTTATGGATCCTGAGAAGCGTTTTGACAGGGAACGGCATGTGTGACACCAAGATCCGTAGATATATTGGGATGGCCAATGACACATTCCCAAAGCCGGGCAGAGTATTGCGAGACAGGAAGTTTTTCTTTGGTAACAAAGAAAAGGATACGGAGCTGTTACGTAACATCTGTCCTTCTTTACGGCAGCAAGTGCTGAACAATTTCCTCAAGGATTAAAAGAGATTCGAGGTGACTTAGATGTGGCCCTACACAAAGAGCCACATTCAAATTGAGTGCAATATCAAGCTTCTAAAATCGACCTGAATTAATGATCACTAGTGAGTATTCTACATTACTCCTTTCAGTTGCTTCCCAAAATAGAAATTACTCATAACGCAATCTAATCTCTCTCCCTCTCTCTTCCTCCCTCTCTTGCTCTTCATCAGTTCACCGTCCATCCACACAAGCTTGCCAGGTAGGTTGTCTGTTACTTTCTTCTGGTCCTGTTACATTCATCATTGCACACGCAAAGTCCCTTTCCTGTGCTGTAGGCCTTTGAGATATTTCGGCTTGCTTCATGGACAACACATTCATAATTGACAAGTATGATTACTCATTTGGGTGATACAGTCGGAACTGCAATTGGTTACTGTTGTGGTAGGATCCACCTAATTTACATAGTGGAGTACCGACCATATAAATATGGTTGGTACCAGGAAGAGAGGGAGGAATCAAGAGATTCAACCCGAGACTCTGCCCGACTGCGACTCAGTCAATACATTCTCTAGAAACGATCTTACCAGGAATATACAAAAGACTATATGTAAATATTGTGTACACTTTCTTGTTTCAATACACTTTGTTCTAAGTACCTTTTGTGTTGCATTATTATTCCATGCATTAGGCAAGTTTCAACAGTAACCAAAATGGAAATAAATCTCACTGAGTTATACAGTTGTTGGTTATGAAATTTATTATCCATTTTAATTCCAGACCAACTGCATATGTTTCAATAATAAATTCTTTAAGGCTGTGTTGTAAGGTTTTCACTGATCACTGGAATGAAATTCCAAAGCTCCAATTATGCATCTGAACTTATTATTTAAACTCATTGTAATGACAATAGTACGCAGGTGTAGGCTTTAAGACAACTTTATTCGACTGAGATTACAAGGTTCGCGTATAGCGTCCTTTTATAGTCCCAGTAAACAGAAATAGCTCTCTCAAAGAGGAGAGTAACGAAACAAGGTGAGAACACTCTTGATTATTCATAACACACATTTCCTCAAGAAAATGGTAAGGATTTGGAAAAAGATATTTTATTTCGTTATATATCATATCAAACTACAACATTCAAATTGAGTGCAATATCATGCTTCTAAAATCGACCTGACTTAATGGTCACTAGTATTCTACATTCATTATTTCAGTTGGTTCCTAAAACAGAAATTACTTATGACACAATCTAATCTCTCTCTCTTTCTCTCTCCCTCCCCCCCCTTACTCTTCATCAGTTCACCGTCTATTCACCCAAGCTTGCAAGGTAGGTTATGTGTTACTTTCTTCTGGTCCTCATATATTCAATCTGTCCTGTGACCATCAAATTTTCCAAATCCTCTTTCATCATTGTGTCTCAGAAATTTGAATCCAAAAACTAAGATATGTTAGTGTATTTTAAATTTATTCTTAACTGCCACTTATCATTAGTACTTAGAATGATACGCTGGTCGTTGTAATTGGATCCCCCAAATGTGAAATTACTTATGACTCAACCTCAGAAAATTCCTTATTTTAACGCAAAGTTCCTATTTAATTACTTTTTCTTCGTCTTTAGATTTCATTTTTATAATTTAGCTTAAGAACACAAATTTATCAGATCTCCCACAGAAGATATCGACGGAAAGTGAGAAAAAGGGACTAAGCATAAACTACAAGAAGATTGAATTCATGGTCATCAGTAAGATGATGTGCCCAAACTGCGATTTTCAGGTCGGGAACACTAGAATCAAGCAGACGCGGAAGTTTAAATATCTGGGAAGCGTTTTATCAGAGGACAGTAATTGTGACACCGAGATCCGAAGACGTATTGGGATGGCCAAGGGACTCATTCCAAAAGCTGGGCAGAGTATTGCGAGACAGGAGGATTTCTTTGGTAACAAAGAAAAGAGTACTGAGTTGTTACGTAACATCTCTCCTTATTTACGGCAGCGAAAGCTGGACGAGTTCCTCAAAGATGAAGAAGAGACTCGACGCGACAGAGAAGTAGTTCTACAGAAGGATGCTGAGGATTTCGTGAACCGACCGTGTGAGCAACGATGAGGTCTTGGAGAGAATCCGGACAAGAAGGAGGCTCATGCTCAAACTCAGGAAAAGGCAGCTGAAGATTCTGGGACACATAATGAGGAAAGAGGGCCTTGAGTATTTGATACTCACGGGTCGAATAGAGCGGGAAAGAGACAAGGGAAAGCAGCACGTGATATTCCTGGCGGGCTTGAGCAGGTGGATGACAGAACGTGGTCTGGGGGAGACAGGAGAGGGAAGGAACTTGTTAAGAGCTGCAAGGGATAGAGAGAAATGGAGAGCCGTGATCGCCTAGCTCCTGAAAGGACATGGTACATAAAAAGAAAAGAAGACTCAAGTTTTATGGATCAACAAATAATCAATGTTTCAACTGTATAAGTAATAATATTCATCATTGCGCACGTCAAGTCCCTTTCCTGTGCTTTAGGCTTTCGAGATAATTCTGTTTATTTCAAGGGCAACACATTCATAACTGACAAGTATGATTACTCGTTTGGGTGATACAGTCGGAATTACAACAGGTTTCCCTAAATGGGAATCAATCTCAATATGAAACTCTCTCTCAAATTTATTCTTAAGTGCCACGTATGATTAATAGTGAGGAGGGTACATTCGTCATTACAATTGGTTTCCAAAATAAGAAATCAATCTCACTGTCAATCTCAAACTCTCTCTCTCCCTCAAAATTTAATCTCTCGATCTCTCTCTCAATCGCTTTCTTACTCGCAATCTATCAATCCCCCCTCTCTCTCTCTCAATCTCTCTCTCAGTCTCAGTCTAGCAATTTCCCTCTCAATCCCTCTGTCACTCTCAATCTCTTAATCTCTCTCAATCTCTCTCTCACTCTCAATCTATCAATTTTCCTCTCGATCGCTCGATCGCTCGATCGCTCTATCTCTTAATCTCTCTCAATCTCTCTCTCACTCTCAATCTCTCAATCTCTCTCTCACTCTCACTCTATCAATTTCCCTCTCAATGGCTCTCTCACTGTCAATCTCAATCTCTTAATCTCTCTTAATCGCTCTCTCACTCTCAATCTCTCTCTATCAGTTTCCCTCTCAATCGCTCTCTCAATCCCAATCGCTCTCTCACCCTCTCGATCGCTCTCTCACTCTCAATCTATCAATCTCTCTCTCTCAATCGCTCTCTCTCTCACTCTCAATCTATCAATTTCCCTCTCAATCGCTCTCTCCATCTCAATCTCTCAATCCCTCTCACTCACAATCTATCACTCTCCCTCTCTTTCTCAATATTATTTTTAACTGCCCCTTATGATTAGTAGTTAGGATGTCACATTCGTTATTACGATTGGTTGTCCTAATGGAAATCAATCTTTCTCTTAAAGTCTCTTCCCCCCTCTCTCTCTCTTTCTCTCTCTCTACCACTCTCTTTCTCTTTCACTCTCTCTCTATTTCACTCTCTCTCTCTTTCACTCTCAATCTGAGTCTCAGTTTCTCTCTCTTTCACTCTCTTTCTCTCTCTTTCACTCTCTCTCTCTCTCAATCTGAGTCTCAATTTAAATATCTTTCTCTCTCACTTTCATTCTCTCTCTTTCATTCTCTCTCTCTCTTTCATTCTCTCTCTCTCTCTCTCTCTTTCTCTCTCAATCTCTTTTCACTCTCAATCTGAGTCTCAATCTCTCACTTTCATTCTCTCTCTTTCATTCTCTCTCTCTCATTCTCTCTCTCTCTCTCATTCTCTCTCTCTCTCTCTCTCTCTGAATGTCTCACTCCCAAAACGCGAAAGCATTCTGCTGTAATTTTTTTTTAATGCAACCTTCTGTTTGTCGATCAACTGTTGCTTTATTTTCTTGATCATTTTGAAGATATACAGATGTTGGTTATGAAATTTATTATCCATTTTAATTCCAGACCAACTGCATATGTTTCAATAATAAATTCTTTAAGGCTGTGTTTTAAGTTTTTCACTGATCACTGGAATGAAATTCCAAAGCTCCAGTTATGAACCAGAATTTATTATTTAAACTCATTATAATGACAATAGTACGCAGGTGTAGGCTTTAAGACAACTTTATTCGACTGAGATTACAAGGTCTGCGTATAGTATCCTTTTATAGTCCCAGTAAACAGAAATAGCTCTCTCAAAGAGGAGAGTAACGAAACAAGAGGAGAATACTCTTGATTATTCATAATATACATTTCCTCAAAAAAAATGGTAACGATTTGGAAACATATTTTATTTTGTTATATATCATATCAAACTACAACCTTCAAATTCAGTGCAATATCATGCTTCTAAAATCGACCTGACTTAATGATCTAAAATCGACCTGAGTTAATGACTAGTGAGTATTCTACATTAGTTATTTCAGTTGGCTCCCAACATGGAAATTACTTATGTCACAATCTAATCTCTCTCTCTCTCTCTCTCACTTCCCTCCGTCTTTCTCTTGCTCTTCATCTGTTCACAGTCCATCCATCCAAGGTTGTGTGTTCCTTTCTTCTGGAACTCTTCCATTCAATCTGTCCCGTGACCATCAAAGTTTACAAATCCTCAGAAATTTGAATCCTAGAACTAAGATATGTTAGTGTATTTCAAATTTCTTCTTAACTGCTTCGTATGATTAGTAATTAGAATGTAATTGGTTTCCCCAAAATTGAAATTACTTATGACTCAACCTAATAAAATTCCTTATTTTAACGCAAATTTCCTATTTAATTACTTTTTCTTCATCTTTAGATCACACTTTTATACTTTAGCTTAACCCATTAACTGCCAAAATTTTTTTAATGCGCATTTTTGGCTCAGACGGGTTTTTAGGAGTTTATTTATTCCTTATGTTTAATTTCAATAGTTAACCATTGTCGTTTTTATAGAAACTAGAACATCAAATATATATGTGTATAAAACATCAAAAGATAATATTGATTAGAAATAATAAAGAATTATTTTTCAAAATAATCATTATTTTTCTACTCGTGAAATGTAAAATTACTTTAAGAGGCTGTGTTGTAATATATACCGCTGCAAATGCAATCCGTCAATCTCTGTCAATCTATCAATCCCGCCCGCAATCGTTCTCTCGCTCTCAATCTATCAATCTCTCTCTCTATCGCTCTCTTACTCTCAATCTATCAATTTCTCTCGCAATCGCTCTCTCGTTCTCAATCAATCAATCTCTCTCTCTATCACTCTCTCACTCTCAATCTATCAATCTCTCTCTCAATCGCTCTCTCACACTCAATCTATCAATTTCTCTCTCAATCGCTCTCTCACTCTGAATCTATCAATCTCTCTCTATATCGCTCTCTCGCTCTCAATCTATTAATCTCTCTCTCTCTATCACTCTCTCACTCTTAAACTATCAATCTCTCTATCGCTCTCTCGCTCTCAATCTATCAATAACTTTCTCAATCGCTCACTCGCTCTCAATCTATCAATCTCTCTCTCTATCGCTCTCTCACACTCAATCTATCAATCTCTTTCTCGATCGCTCTCTCGCTCTCAATCAATCAATCTCCCTCTCTATCGCTCACTCGCTCTCAATCTATCAATCTCTCTCAATCGCTCTCTCACTCTCAATCTATCAATCTCTCTCTCAATCGCTCTCTCACACTCAATCTATCAATTTCTCTCTCAATCGCTCTCTCACTCTTAATCTATCAATCTCTCTCTCTGTCGCTCTCTCGCTCTCAATCTATCACTCTCTTCTTCGCTCTCTCACTCTCAATCTATCAATCTCTCTCTCTCGCTCTCTCGCTCTCAATCTATCAATCTCTCTCAATCTCTCACTCGCTCTCAATCTATCAATCTCTCTCTCTATCGCTCTCTCACTCTCAATCTATCAATCTCTCTCTCAATCGCTCTCTCGCTCTTAATCTATCAATCTCCCTCTCTATCGCTCACTCTCTCTCAATCTATCAATCAATCTCTCTATCGCTCTCTCGCTCTCAATTTATCAATCTCTCTCTCTCTCTCTCGCTTTGTTACCCTCAATCTATCAATCTCTCTCTCTCTCTATCACTCTCAATCACAATCTATCACTCTCCCTTTCTTTCTGAATTTTTTTTTTAACTTTCCCTTATGATTAGTACTTAGGATGTTACATTCATTATTACGATCTCTCTCTCAATATTTCTAACTTTCTCAATCTCAATCTCTCTCTGCCTCTCAATCTCAATATCTCTCTCAAACTTTCTCTCTCAATCTCCCTCTCCCTCACAATTTCAATCTCTTTCTCTCTCTCTCAATCTCTCCCTCATTCTCAATCTCCCTCCCCCTAAATCTCTCTTTCAAAATCAATTTCTTTTTCACTCTCAATATCAGTCTCTCTCCCTCTCAATTTCCATCACTCTCAATCTCTATGTCTCTCTCAATCTCAACCTCTCTCTCCTTCTCAATCTCTCTCAATCTAAATCGCCCTCAATCTCCCTCTCATTCTGATTCGCTCTCTCACAGACACACACACACACTCTCTCTCTCTCTCTCTCTCTCTCTCTCTCTCTGAATCTCTTAATTTCTCTCTAAATCCTTCTCTTACTCTCAATCTATCAATCTCCTTCTCACTCTCAAATTGATTCTTAACTGTCCCTTATGATTAGTAGTTAAGATGTCACATTCATCATTACGATTGGTTCCCAAATTAGAAATTCCTTATGACACAATCTAATCTCTCTCTCTCTCTCTCTCTCTCTCTCTCTCTCTCTCTCTCTCTCTCTCCACCATCTATTTGCCCAAGCTCGCCAGACAGGTTCTGCGTTATTTTCCTCTGGCCCTCTTACCTTCAATCTGCCTTGTGATTATCAAAGTTTCCAAGTCCTCTCTCCTCATTGCGTGCCCGAGAAATGTCAAATCCAAAAACTAAAATATGTTAGTCTGCTCCAGATTTATTCATAACAGCCACGTATCATAAGTAGTTGTCATTATAATTGATTCACCCAAAATTGAAATTTATTATGACTCAACGTAAAAAAAAATCCCTTATTTTAACGCAAAGTTTATATTTAATTCTTTTTTTTTTTTCGACCTGAGATTTCACTTTAATATTTCAGCAAATTTATCAGTGTTTTTCTTTTGTCTTTTTCTTTTTGTGTCCATTTTCTCTAAAACTTCGTCATTGCTCGCTTGTTCAGTCGATAGTCGGAAGAAGACGAAGAAGAGACTTGAAGTAACATAAATGTAGTTTGACGGAAGGATGCGGGAATATGATGAATTGAATTGAATATGTGAACAGTGACAGTTTTAGAGAAAAACAAAACAGAACACTTATAATTAACAACAAAAGAGTCAGTTGAAATTTCATAAAGGAGGAATAACCTGAGATGAGGTATCATCATTGTTTTCATTATTTACATCAGTGGTTTTCAATCAGGGTTTCGCGAAACCCTAGCGTTCCTCCAGTAAAGCCCAGGGATTCCGCAAGAAGTTACACAAGTACTATCATTGACAGTAATTTTTAATTCTCCTGTGCAGACAAATCAATAACAAAACAGCATAGTATGAATAAAAATAGGTCCCAAACTTAATAAAACAACCTTTTTCCATCAAAATGTTTCTATTTTTATTAAAAGGAAAGATCAAAGTAATTTTTAATTATATTTTTGTTATAGTGGAACACACCTATTCTATAGTTAATAGCCTCTCCCACCTATAATAAGTAGGAATAGTAGGGAGTCGCTCAGTGGGTCGATCAGTCAGTCGACCGGCTGATCGGTTGAACTCTCTGCCTTCGGGCGCGGAGGAACCCGAAGGAGGCTACGCCGAAGGGCGGATTCTCTTTCGGGGAGGTTTTGGCCGAGCCCACGGGCTCGGAGATCCCACGTTAAAAAGGCCTTGTGCCACATGACGCCCTCGTTGGGGTGGGGGTGACTAAATATCGTTGGTCAGTCAGTCGATGCCGGACGACCGTTAATCGAATACTAAAGTATCAGCGAGCACAACTAGATTTCTCTGCGTCATTACCTATTATATTAAGTTCCTAACGTTTTGTACGTCGAACCTATTTTAGGACCGACTTAGTACAAATACAAGCCTCCACTGTGAAATTACTCCATAACAATTTTAAAAATTTTTTATCTCTTCGAACATTTTCGAAATGTTGTCAGAAAGTTTAGTTTTGATTCGAGTTAGCGGTTAAACAAATGTTACAACTGTTTTACAATGGAAAATGGAAAAATTATATCACCTAATTTTTTCGGTGACAAACACATTAATTTGGAAATTCTCACAAAAATCAAATAATTGCCGGAATTTAATGAAACATCCTACTTATGTGAATTTGGATTTTCAGCTCTGACAACCA